TTGATTGCACCCAGCGGAGTCGCTCCAATGTCCAAGGGGCCCAGGAGGTCGCCCCCCTTGAGAGAGCCCCTGGCGTGGTCCAGCCGTGCCTTCCCTGCCTTCTCGCGCTCTCTGGCTGCAGCCCAGGCCGGCCGGCGTTTTAACATTCCAGTCTTGGCCCAGCAGCTGGCTCTTGCTGCCTCCAGCCATGTATTTTTCTGCTGGCATAATGGCCCGCAGGGCTCTGCTGGGAGCCCCCCGAGCTAGATGCACAACAGATGACCTAACCTTTCTTGAACTAGACGGCTAATTAGTTCTGAGGTAGAACTTCTCTCCAGTGAGCAAACTGCATGACAGGCTAGCCAGACAGCCTTGGTCCGACAACACGGCTGCCCTCGACACACGCCTGTCACAGATGAGTAACTTGGAAATAATGCTTATGGTGAAACTAATGAGATGGGAGCAAGGAGAGAAATCAGAGCAGGGATCAGAATTGCGAGGCCCCTACCTGGATAGCAGGTAAGCAGGAAATACTCATCCAGGCAATGGCTTTATTAGGGGACAGTTCCCCCCATGAGGAGAATAAATAGCCCTGCTTAATTTGGCAGCATTACTTCTGTGTAAACACGTACTGGGCTTCCAGGCTTGAATCCTGATTGGCCTGCAATGTTTGATAGGGGAGGAAAATATTGCTAATCCTGCAGTAAAGGAAGGCTGCAATCTGTTGAATACCTCACTGCAGATTTGTTAAGGACCGCAACCCAGAAGGAAAGCCGTTTAGCAATAAGGGATGTGTTATCATCTGCATGGATTTTCAAACAGGATGGAAGCTGCCATTTTCTGGAACTACCCCATTTAATGTAAAGCATCACCAAATCTGAGCAGGGCCCTCCGGAATCTAAGCTCCTCCACCTGATTTTCCCCTGTCTCCCCCTCCCAATGCAGTCCCTTCCCAAGGGGTCCTCCAGCCCCCATCGAGGACTGTGAGAGTGGATATAGGGAGACACAGAGAGGAAGAAACAGCACTCTTGCACTACCACATGCAAGAAATGTGTCCTAAAGGAAAAGCTACTGATGTAATCTAATTCCCATTTCAGCTCAGTTCAGGAGCTGAGGTGTACAGCAGGACTGCACTGAAGGAGGAGATACATTCCACTTGTCCACATATTACACACAAGATCTTCCCTTTCTTTATCTGTCTTTGACTTTCCCTGGCATAATTGTCTTCTCCAGTGAGGCTTATCCTCTCACGGTGTGCCCAAAGTATGATAGCCTCTTTCACCTGGCCTGATTTGATCTAGGATCCACTTTCCATCTTTCTTTCAGACCAGGGTATTCACAACTCTCTTCTCCAGCACCTTATTTAGAATGCATCAATTCCCCCCGCCCCCCCGCCAGCTTTCTTGAGTTTGCAGCTTCCACATCCATGCATAGTGATTCGTAATACAGTAGTGTCAATGAGCTTGGCCTTGGTCTTCAGTGAGATGTCCTTACATTTGATGATCTTTTCGAGCTCCTTCACTGCTGCCCTTGCAAGTTTCAGTCTTCCTCTAATTTCTTGGCAGCAGTCTTCCTTTAAATTGATGACTAAGCCAAGGTATGAAAATTCTTGCACAATTTCATTTTCTTCACGGGTGACCTTAAAGTTGTGTACATCTTGTGTAGTCACGAATTTTGTTACCTTAATGTTCAACTGCAATCCTGCTTTTGTACTTTCTTCTTTCACTTTCAGTAGGAGTTGTTTCAATTCATTGCAGCTTTCAGCCAGAAATATGGTATCAGCAGCATATCTTTTTATTGTTGTGTCCTCCACCAATTTTCACTCCTTCCGATCCAAATCAAGCTTTCCTTATGATCAGTACATAGGCTCAACAGAAAGATTAAATACACCCTTTTCTGATGCCTTTGTCTATAGAAAACTATTCTGTTTCTCCATATTCTGTCCTACGAGTAGCTTTTTATCCCTGATTCAGGTTACGCTGGAGGACAATCAAGTGCTGAGGCACCAGCATTTCTTTCAGTGCCATCCATAGGTTCTTGTGACCCTCACAATCAAAGACTTTGCTGCACTCTAAAAATCATACAATGATCTTCTCAAATTCTTTGGTGTGCTTCAGTCGCCAACGTATATTTGCTATCTGATCTCAGGTGCCTCTTCCCTTTCAGAACTGACCTTGAATGTCAAGCATTCCTTGCTCTGCATAGGGTAATATTCTTTGTCCCAATATCTTGAGCATCACTTTGCTCACCTGGGGAATTAGTGTAATTGTCCTATGGTTGCTGCACTCATTGCCTTTCCTTCCCTGGGGATCGAAATGCATATTGGGCATTTCTGGTCTGTGTGCCACTGTTGTGTTCCCCATATTCGCTAGCACATTCTTGTTAGGATTTGGACTGAGTCTCTGCAGCTTGAGCTACTTCTACTGGTATCCTATCTACTCCAGCTGCATGGTTTCTTCCAAGTGCTTTTAGAACAGCTTTCATTTCACTTTCTAATATTGCAGGCTCTTCTTTGAAAGTAGTCTGTCATCCTTGCATCTCTCTGTATAGTTCTTCCATAGATTGTTTCCACCTTTTCTTTATTCTATCCCCATCAAGTAGTATGTCCCCCTGTTGGTCTTTCAGGATTTCTCATCTAGATTTGACTTCCCCTTTGATTTTTTTGGGTCTTCTGGAAGACGTCTCTCCTTTTTCCTTCTGCTGATTTTTTCTGTTTCTTTGCACTGCCATTGTAATAGTCCCTATGTGAGTGTCACTGAAAATTTGCATTCAAGATCCTGATCCTTTTCTGTCATCTTCTGCTTCTGCTTCTTGCCTGTACTTAGAAATTGTGTTATCATCCACCATCAGGCGTTCCCCTCTTTTATGCTACGGGAGTTGTCTTTCTGCATTTTCCCCTAATAATGTCTGGTTTCAGTCCACAGGTCCCCTTGGTCACAGTCCACTGGGTCCAAGGGTAATCCTAGGTCTACTGTTTTCAAGGGTAACAAAAGAGCATTTGGGCGTGCCCAAGGAAGCCTGCAGTCAGCATGTCCAGATTTTGTGGTTTTTTGAAGGAGCAATGGAGAAAAGTGGTCAGATCAAAAATGTGACAAGGAAGAGTGTAACATTTCCAGTCCCTCTATAACTAATATTCTCTAGGTGGTTTACAATAGCTAAAATTAAAATATTATTTGTAATCAACATGTTACACATACGCTACACATGTAAAACACATATTTAGCTACCTATCTAGTTTCCTCTGCAAGGGCGCCCAAAAGATGACTTCTGAAGATGACTAAAGGGCTAACCCTTTCTCTGCACTTTTTCCAATTGAAATACAGGTTTCCTTTCTTCCCACCCCACACTTCTATTTCTTCCAATCATACAGATCAAAGGGAACTTGGGCATCATGTGGTCCAGGAATGCAGAAATTCAGACCTGGAAGCCACATTTTCACTTCTGGGGGTCCCCAGGTAGCCACACCCCTTCCCCTGCCCCTCCCTCTTTCTCACCAACTACTGATCATGGGTGGGTCCCCAAATTTTGTGCCTAATTCCTCCCATTTCAAAGGTTGAAATAACTCTCAGGAGTCAGTAACCCTCTGTCTTCCAAAGAAGTCTGTTCAGACATGGGGCAACTCCTATCAATAAGACATTTCTCCTAATGTTTATCTGAATCTGCTTCCTTGCCAGTTCCACTAGGATTTAACCCTCTTTAGCAAGGAAGCTCTGCTCGCTCTTCTGTGTAACTATCTTGCTGACATCTGAAGGTCACTGCCATGTCTCCTCTTAATCTACTCTTCTCCAAGCTAAGTAGACCCAGGTCTTGCAGGTCTTTTTCACAGGCCTTGGTTTCCAATCCATTCACCATCCAGATCACCTTTTTCTGAATGTATTCCAGCTGGTCAGTGTCCTTCTGAAAATGCATCATCCAAAACCGGGCACAGTATTCCAAATTCTAGACTAACACAAAACTGAAAGTAATTATTACTTCCCATGATCTGACCACTACATTTTTGTTAATGCAGACCACATTCAGTTTTTTAGAGACTGCACCATGGTGCTAACCTATATTCAGCAAAGAACCTGATCACATCAATATGTACTGCTGGCAAGCTCTGTTCCCTTGTCTCCCCCGATCCTATAATTATCCCTGGGGGGTGGGTTGTGCCAAATGCAAAATGTTACATTTAACTCTGTTGAATTTCATTGTTAGCTTCTCCACACTGTTCCAAGTGGTCCAGACATTTTGGGATTTTGCTTCCATGTGGCTGGCGATTCCTGGCTATCACTGCTTTGGGTCATCTGCACATTTAATAAGTATCCCCCTTACATCCTCATCCAAGCCATTTGTAAAAAGCAGTGTAGCATGCCATGAGAGATCACCCCCCCAGGCTGATGTAGTACTATTAATGAGCACTCCCTAGATGCAGTTGCCCAACCTGCTGTAGATCCATCTAACAGTTCCAGCATCCAACCTATAGGAGAAAACCAAGTACCTGCACATTTTCATATATGGGACAACGGGAAGCATCGGGATGTGCATGGTTTTAATTAAGAAATCTGAGCAAAACAAAAGATTCAAGCTCCTCATTCCAGGTACTTATTAGCTTTTTAGCTGCTATTGACTTTTTAGAATAACATGTGCTATCTTGATCACCCATCACTTCCATCGCATCTTGGACTGGCCCTAAACTATCCCACTCCTGTTTACAAGGGGTTAGATCCTACGGAAGTGTGGGACTCACTTCCGAGGGGCACGGACAGGACTGGACTGCACACTCCACAGCAGGTAAACTGAGTGACATCTTGCTCCCTTAACTGCTCCCACGTATCAGTAGCACCGATGCAAAACTCACATTCCTTATCTCGGAGGACTGAGGTGCCCGTTTTCTGCTGGATGCCTCTTCAATCCATTCCCACATTGCTGGTAACTGCCGCACTAAACCAACACTGGCTTTACACCTGCGCCAATTCTGCCTCCTGCGACAAACGCGTAAAGTGTGAATGCTCATACTGACACAATATAGCAGCGCAGGATTAACCAGAAGATGCAGATTTGGTTTATTATCCCTACAAAAAATTAACATTACAGCAATTATAAAGCACAACAATGATTATAGATAAGGCAGGAAATACTCCAGGCACAACAGTGAATCGGGTAGTGATTTCCAGCAGAGGCAAGAAAAGTTGATACATGCGAACTACAGAAATCACCCTTCCAATTAGAACCTGATTTGGTCAGCACTAGAGGACTGATATCAGTAATTTCTGCTCAGAAGGTTGTATCTGATGCAAGGATCCTTGTACCAGGAGAATTTCCCTCCCACAAGTACTTCCATGGTACAACCTATTTTAAACTACCTGAAAGGTTTACTTTTATTTTTGAAAGAAAAAAAAGATTCCTCACTGTACAGAAAACAAGAAAGTTTCTGTTGTACCTTATCAGTCTTCTCCAGTCTAGCTGTCTCCAAATACTGTGGACAGCAGCTCCCACAATCCCCAGAAATGGGCCATGCAGACTGTAAATGACAGGCACTGAAGCCCAAAATACATGGTGGGTGCCAGGTTGGGGAAGGCTGTGCTATATCACCTTACTGATATAACTGAATATTTAGTCAAATGAATAGAGAACAGCTTGAAATGATTAGTCAAGCTTAAATTCATCCTCAAGATCTGCTCAAAAAGTTCTCTCTGATTTGAATGAAAGGAAATGCGTCCCATTAATTTAGGTAGAACAGCTCAAAATTCCCTATTCACTTCCCCTATATTAGATCTGCAGGAAACCAAAGGTTCATTAATAGCATGTGGTGTGAAGAATGCTGCTCTGGCCTAATTTGTGTTTTCTATATCTTGCCAGGTGCTCCTTCTACTATCTGTGCCAAAAACTGTTGGTATTGCTTTCGAACAGGAAGGTGATCCACTGGTCTGTTGTAAGCGGTCCACACGGGTTCTCCAAAAAAGAGTCTCATTGCCTTCACGTAATTCTGGGGGCAGAAACAGAAACATTTGCACTTGATATGGTTAACTTCTGTAAAGGAGATGGATCAAATGTACAAAAAAATGAAAAGAGAAAGATTGAAAAGAGAAAGATTGTGCTTAAGAATAAATGACTAGACTTCTCGAGGTTTGCAAGAGGAAAAACACAGTTGGGTTCATGGAAACTCCACTGCTGAAAATATATCTATGCCCCACAGCTTGCTTGAGTGACAGGCCTGAGCGATGCTTCTTCGCCCATACTGATTCTTCACCTCTCAAAGGTTTGCATGTAGCCAGCCTTTAAACCATGACTTGCTGGTTCAGTTTGTAAAGGAAACTCGTTTGCCAAAGCTAGGAAGGCTCCTCTTTAACCAGCACAAAACTGGAGGGAGGGAGAGCTAGAGCTCAAACAATCCACTGTTTCTTGAGCAGCCTTGCTACATTTGAATCAAACTGCTATCCTTCCACTCTAGAGGCAATATTTTATTACCCTTACCAGAAATGGATATCAAGTCGCCCTAGTGCAAGTGGCTTCTAGCACAACTCCAAAAGCACTTGCAGATGGGAAAGGTTTCCCTGGAGAGCCTGTTGCACCCAAGGCTGCTGACACCAGTGCAGTCTCATTTACATGAATGGCACTGTCCACAAGATACTGCCCTAGCCTTCCGCACACTGCCACCCTCCAGGTGATGCAGATGTCAACTCGCATCAGCCCCAGACAGCAAGCTTGACTGGGATTTGTAGTCTGAAACGTATGGAGGGGACCAGGCTGGGCGAGGCTGTTCTCCTCATATCTGGGTAGCTGAGACTGGAGGCAGTAAACTTTAAATGAATTTATAGGCAGCGTTCCCAAGCCTGCTTAGTGAATATGACAGGGGGTTATGGTCTGAAAGAGCAATCCTTGTAGCAATTTTAACAGAATGGAACCATTTCTCAGGTAAATGAACTTTTTAGTGCAGGACAGTTATTTCCAAAAGACTTGGAGTCCTAGTGTATTTTCGGTCTGCAAATTCCACTCGACAGATTTCCCAGTGTGGTGCCCAAACTGGTCAGCCGTCAGCACCCACCTCAGAAGGCAGGGCCGTGTCAAAAGAATATCCGCAGCTTCCTGTTGCAAATGCTTTCTATCCCACTGCAACAAGCCAAACAGGACAAGCAGATCCGTCCTCCCAAGGCGCCCCGGATAGTTGCCATGGCAACACCAATCCCTTGCTAAAGACGGATTTTATGACCAGGCTGGAGGCACACGCACCCCATTTATCTGGAGAAGCAGCAGCAGAGAGCACAGAGAGGACGTGTGCTCTAATGCGATCCCTCCCCGAACCTCGAGGAATTGATTTCTAATCCCAGATAGTTCAGAACGGCAGCTTGGAGGACAGGGGCATTTTATGTTCAAACCCGGATTGATGGATGCTGGGCTTGGATTTAACTGCACAGCCAGCCAGAGTACCAATGCTCTAATATATACAAATGGTGCATATAATATACATAGAACAAAAATGTTGCATATTATAGGACAAAAACTTTGGACCCACTGGAAGGGAAGGGTCAGCAAAGGGAAGTACTGCTTTCCCCCGTTTGCTTTTCAGTACGCTACTAAACACCTACATTTCAACACAGCCTGCTCCAAGCTGGTGGGTGGTTTAGAAATTTATACTAAAATAATGTTGCAGATGCGTGGGACTGCTATCACTTCCATATAGCATGCATATGTGGTTGGGGCTGATAGGAGTTGCAGTGCTTGACATCTGGAAGGCACCAGGTTGGGGAAGGCTGCTTTAGCATACAGACTCTGCTTCTGACAGCCTGCCCCCATATCACATCCACACATTTCCAATTTAGTAGTTCTATTAGCAGCTCTACACCTGCATACAATTCTGCTTCAATAATATGTGAATATGGGGTGTGTGTGTGTGTGTGTGTGTGTGTGTGTGTGTATGAGAGAGAGAGAGAGACAGAGAAAGAGAGAAGTAATTTCATACAGATTCATCCAATGTAAATCGGTGATAGATGCCAGCGGGAAGCGTGATCATGTCTCCCTTTTCCACAGCAATCCGGACCCATTTGTCGTCTTTATCACGGACGTCAAAATACCCACTTCCTTCCAGGATGTAGCGAATCTCATCATCCAGGTGTAAGTGCTCTTCATAAAATATTTTTATCTAGCAGAGGGAGGGAAGAGAGACAGCAGCTTTTCATTTAGCAAGTCTATTACAAGCTGTAAGCACACAGCTTGCTGCAAAGATTGCAAGACATTACATCAGAAACCTGACATCCCTCTTAATAATAAACCTTCGGCATTGATGCAATGTGCTGAGTGTTCCAAATGATTCAAGTGCATCTGTCTTGGCAAAATGCACGGCAACCCTGCAAGGTTGTCCGCTTCCAATGCCAGTTCACACTTGTGGTGCTTACACAATACCAGCTTTAGTATGAATAACACTGATGATCTTGCTGCCCCTATTTAAGCAATGCTCCTTTTTGTGCAATACTCTTGGGAACACTGCACTGGATTTCCTGCAGGAGTGAGCAGCCTGGTGAAAGAGGAAGAATGTACTCAGCCCCTTATATGCATGCACCAAAGAGGGCAGGGGAGCCACCTCTTCCTCCAGCACGGCAGAGAAACAACTCCTTGCTCTCATTGGGCTAGTAATGTCCTGGGTTTATTTGCAAGGGTGGCCTAAATTATCTTAGATATTAACACAATAAACAACCATCCTATGATCTTGGGAGAATTTTCATGCCTTTTCCAAGAGAGCAGATTGCCTCTTCCTTTAGGCATTTCAGTGCATTGCATTTAGACATATGCCATTTTCAAGTGGGCAGCATTGTATACCAATTTACTTGTGTAGATTTCAAGCTGACAAATATAAAACCCAGAGCCTCTACTTCGGCCTCCATAGACATTCTTTTGTCCAGGTTTCTGGCAGCCTGGCCTTGTACCACTCACCCTGAGGTCAATCCTTCTTCAGGAAGAATTTGTGTGTTTTGTGGCTGTAAAAACATGTTCTTGGTGCAGTACTTCTGCTAAGACCTTTAGAGAAACTCTTTCTTTGTCCAGCAGTTTCACTTATATCAGCACTTAGGACTTAACTGGTCCTAAGGATGCATAAATAAATTTAACAGGCAAATTGAACATATGCTCCCAATTTCATCATGATCACAATTCCATTTCCCACATGGTCCATCATCCTGTGGCTTGGATCCTAAGGTAAGTTAATGGAAGGAGTTTCCCATCCCTTAATTACTCTACAGCCTTTAGAGAGCCTCTCTGCATGGTCAGGAAGCTCTCAAGCATAATGGGGTAACAGGATGTGAAGGGGCTACTGCGGAGATGCGAGGTGGCTCATTGTCCAAGCTCAAGCTTGGCAATGCACACATTGGTCTACCTGGTGGGGCCTTCGGCAGGCATCGTAGACAGGGCGAGTACGTATCCGTCAGAGACATTTTCGGCAAGGGGCGGCACAGAAATGTTCTAATAATAATAATAATTTTAGCCCCGCACTGAGCACACCTTTTGAACCCAGATCACTAAGCCATCGAGGAGAAGGTGTAAGAGATAGAATTTGGAAGTAAGGGTCAGGTAATAGAGGGTTTTTTGCTTTTTTATATTTTTTGTGGTAGTGAGGGAATGGGGGGGAACCAAAGATAGGCGAGAGGAATAAAGAGTAAAGGGTTTGTGACTGAAAGGTAAAGTTTTAAAGGTAATGTACAGATTTAAGCAGGAGAAGGTATTCTAAGGAATAGCAGTGAGAGAAACCTGAGGCACCGTGAACGGCAGTCGAAAGTAGACTGGCAAACGGGCAGGAACCCCGCCTATTTATGCGGAGGTGAGGAGGGCAGTTCCCACCAAAACAGTTAATGCTGAAACTTCCTGAACACAGGCAGTGTGCAGGCACAGCACCCATACATGTGATGCACAGAGACCACAATGAATAAGTGCCCCCTGCCCCCATCCCATCCAGTAAAGATCAGGAGGGTCTTCCCAGCAGGCCTTTTGGGAGCATGGCGGGCTATTGCAGAGGCAGGGGATTAAAAACTTTCATTTCATGACCTCCTTCACAACTGCCTTAGGTCAGGCACAGAAGACAAGCATGCTTTAGGCATGCTCACTTAAAAATGCAATTCTTTCACCACTTTAGATTCTTTCCCATATCTGCCTCACTAAAATAAAGCTCACTCAGTAACTTAAAGAATGATATTGTGGATGGTTGAAAATTGAGCAGAATGAACTCGACAAAGTTTGTCTTCCTAAAAAATGTATTGGAAAGATTTCATTGGCATGTTTTCTAGATATGCTTCTTTGTAGTATATGTTAAGACACTCATGCAGAAACAAAACAAACCATTGAATAAAGGATTTCTCGATCCCTCCATGAAATCTGTCTGTCTTACTAATAGCATGCCTCTCATTATGTTAGATTTTTTTTCCTGCAACCCATTCTTACTAGTACTGCTAATGTTTGATACCAGTTGCATGCCATGAATCTTACACAGTGCAGAAAAGAGAAAGCAGCTGCCCTGAAATATGTTTGTGTTATATGTATGGAAGTAGATAGCAGGGCTGCCATTTCAGGTCTGGGCTGCAGAAGATTCTCTGCAAAGTATAAAGGTCTGCTCTTGAATAGGTTCAAAATTAAAGGGCTGGAAAAGTGTATTTGAAGAACCCTAGTTGTCAACACTTTGGTGGATATGTGTTGATAACTTTATTATAGCTGTTACAAGCAGCAAAAGCCATTGTAGAAACCATGTTGTGACTCTGACGTGCCTACAGCTATATCCAGTGTTATATGTACTTTGAAGAAACCCATGGAAACAAATGAGACTTAAGTTAGCCTAAGTTCCATTCCTTTCAATGAGCTTCCTCAAAGTGGGGCTAACACAGGGTATAATTCCCTGTTTAATTGCTTGTAACAATAGGCCTTCTGTGTGCAAAGTCAGGGCTCCCACCAACCACAGCCTGAGGAGCCAAAATATCTAGCAGTTCAAAAGAGAGGAAATATCAGTGAGACTTTCAAGTTGCATTTGGAGAAAGAGGAGTCATCCTGAGGAAGGATTTTCCCCCTAACGCTGGGGTTTTTAGGCATTTTCACCAGCTTTCTAACAAAACCACTGAAAGGCTACAAGTTAGCCACCCCAGTCTAAGGTGAAGAAGGCAAATGAGGCCAAATGAAACTGCTTATTCCCAAGAGTTTTCCCAAAATTACTCCATAATTACTCCCTGTGGGTGTTAGGAATTGTCTGGGAAGGAAAGAGAAGGAGGCATTGCATCCTCCTAGCCAGAGTGGTCCAGAGCAGCCTTTCCACAGAGCACTAAAAAATCTGCCACTATGCTTCTGCTGGACACCACTGAAAGGGCCACTAAAGGAATTAAAACAGTCCAAGGTCTGGGTGCAACACAACCTGTTGGGTTAAACCAGAAGGCAACTGGAGAGATTTAAGCTCCTCCTGGTGGGTCTGTTGTCATCCCTTCCTTCTAGTTGGGTTTGCCTAGGGACCCATGCTCTACACATACAGCACTTTCTCCTGGGGAAATCCTAAGGCCTCCTTAACTGCTCTTGGAGTGGCCACAGCATATTTCCTGTTTTCTGGGGCACTTCCCACACAATGGACAATTAGGGGAGTGTCACAGGGCTTGGATCCTAATATAAGTTCACTTGATGGGGGTGAGGGAAGGAATTGGTGGTGGGAAGAGTGCCTGCTGCTGTAGCACCTCTTGCTTCAGGCCATTCTCACCTCGCCCCAGCAGGTGAATAAGAGGCAAACAGATAGATAAAGCCCCAATTGTTTAGTGTGTAGTTGAGGTTTATCTTTTTCTTCTTTCTATTGCAAGTGTACACAGACCCAAAATAGAGCAGAACCACCACAGAGTGGGAAGGGAAGATGACCCCCCCCCCCCCGTTTTTTCTGACGCCCTCCTCCACGTGCATTAGGGTTTAGAAAGAAAGAGCAAGGTCCCTTTTGATGCAGTTTGTCCATCCATGCTACCAAGTGACAATGCTCTCAAAATGTTTTCCTAGTCAAGGAGACCACAAAACCTCACAGATATCAACTATGTAGGCATTCTTTGTTCCCTCCAATAATGAATTAACTAAATTAACTCCAAATGCATCACCTTGACAACCAAAGAAAGGAAGGATGAAGTGTTCCCTCTTTCTGAGAAGTCTGAATAATGTCTCTAGAAATACCAGATTTGTTTTTTTATTGATCATCACCTGTAGGAGCACTAACCAACTGTTCAGAAGCTTAATTTTATGCCAAGTAAAAGAGAGCTGTTGATTTTTATCTACCCCAGTTGGTGCCATGGAATAAGAAATGCAAAATCCCAGAAAACATATTTTAGATTTTGGACAAATAGTTTAAACATATTAAATCTGTCTATTTTATATTGCCTGCAGAAGAATCCTGTCTGGTCTGAAAGCTTGAACAAGCGATACAATTTTTCAAGCAATGTGATGCAGAGGTTTGACCAGAACTGAGAAAAACCCCATTCTTATCCCTGCTTAGCCATAAGGTTCTCTACATGACCCTGGACTACTCACCATCTCTCAGCCCTTCCTACCTTACAGGATGCATTGTTAAATGTACATCATCTCAAGTTCATTGGAGAAAGAAGATAATGTTGATGGTGTATCTCATCTTCATTCATCCTGGGAGAAAATCTCATTTGTTTCACTGAGCCTGTTCTATTGAGAATTACTGTGTTATGGTCTAGAAGACTCCTAGACTGTAACCATACACTGGAGAGCCAGTTTACATGTGGGTGTAGCTCCCTTGTGGACTGTAGCATGACGTGATGACTGTACATGAGAGCCAGTGCAGGCAAACGATTCACACAGGCCGGTACAACTCAGCTCCTTACCTTCCTCACTAATTGTGTGGTGAGAGCTTAAGTGATGTACATTTATGGGCAAACCCATCCTCAGATGTGCCTTTTTCTCCCCAGGTCAGATTGCCATGCCTTTCATAGCAGCACAAGTGGCACAAATTAAACTGGTGTAGTTTATCTCATGTCTCAGTCTGCATGCCAGAATTCACCTGCTCAATTCAAAGCGCTGCTAAAAGGTACAGGAACCTTCCGAAAAACCAGAAAAGGAGAAACAACAAGAAAAGCACACACCTTACTATCTGAACAGATCACAAAGACCCTGAACAGATCGCAAATACCCCGACAGGAATTGCATGCCTAATTCTTCAGGAAAGCAGACCCATTGCTCAAACAGCAAAAATGGAAACTTTTAAAACTGGCACACACTCTAGTGGCAGACTCCAGCATTTACCACTGTTTCAAGGCTCAATCAAAGAATGATCACCTTCTCTTCGTAGTTTGGCAGCTTATTTTTATCTATTGTTATAATATCCATCCCAGTGTAGTTGTTCTCCTTCCGAATCTTCTCCAGCTCTGGGTCATTCTCATAGCGGTCTGCATCTAACTATGAAATGAAGAAAAGGATTTTTGCTGTCAAACAGTTCAAAATGAGGCAACCATCACTAAGCATTTCCAAAAGGCTTTCCAGAAAAAGCAAGTTGTCGGTATTTCCATTGTACAGCTGAGGAAATGAGGCCACAATATGAATGCCTGCTCACCTGAAGCCATAGCTCACCTACAATTTAGACCCAAGCCAGCACAGACCTAGTACAAAGAGCCTCTGCTCACAAGGACAACACTTTCTGTTTATGTAATAACAAACAATAATAATTTATGATACTTCAGGTTTCTACAATATCACTTGTTGGTTTTCAAAACATTTCACATACAGCTCTGGAACTTTCTTTCCCTGGGATCTGCTTTCAAAGGCAATGTAAGATATTGAGGGGCCAGTAACAAGGGAGTTACACAGGCTAACAAAGCTTCAGGGGTCTAAAGCCAGCCCACCTGGGGTCCCAATCTGGCCTGACAAAGCTTGTCAGACAGGCATGGTCCCTTCCCCAGGCCTCACCCCTTTCCCCTGACTGCCAATCATTATTTTATTTATTTATTAAAACATTTTTATGCCGCCCCATTCGCCGAAGCCTCGGGGCGGCTCACATCATCATTAGGCAGCTGCTTGGCCTTGAATGCTCTCCCCCACCCCCATATTTTGTATTTTGTCCCCACCCACCATAGGACTGCAGCCCCTTAAGCTTTTCTGAAACTGCAATCAGTGATCAGGCTAGAAGAGGTTCAGCACCCATGGAGTAAAGGTTGGAAATGAGATGTTGCTATCAGCTTTGGAACCCTTGAGATGGATTCCAATGAAAGAAGAATGAAGCCATTTTAATAATTACAATTCATGTTTTCTTTAGGCACGTATTTATCATAAAAGACGATCCTAGTCATAGATCTCCCCAATTTCCTTGGCTGTGGCAGCATTCCCCCTCTGCCCCCATAATCATGGGAAGGGCTGCCAACCCTATCCATGATCCCCCCAAGTGAACTATTTATCCGTGCAAGTGCATGTTCAAAGATGGTCAGGACTGCTCAGTTCAGGGATAAAACATCTTCTGGGAAGTGGCAATAATACTCTTATTTACTGGATCATTTTGGTTCTTCAAAGGGGGATTATGCCTCGGCTGATCTCCCACTGTAAGTACAGGCTTTCCAGAGAAGAAGATACACGACTGCCTCAAGAAGTCCTTGTCCACAAGGAACTCTAAGCTCTTTCATACAAATTTCCTTTCCTGGGTTTCCCTTCGGGCAGCCTGCCATCTTTGGCAGGGCAGCTTTCCAAAACAACAACGTTATCCTCAATAGGGAAAGCAGCAGGAACCCAGCAAAACAAATGAGATTAAATTTAAATGCTGACAAGAATCAAGGGATTATCATCAAATATTTCACAGATTTTATACACTTCCCAGATCCAGCTTCTCCACATTTGCTCTCTGTCTGCAACGGTTCTGTCTTCAAGGTAGCAGTACAAGCAGCATAGTGAGAGTGTAGGAACAGGTATATTGCTGCTGCCCATATCTAGGATATTCAGTGGTTTGTACGAATATTCTTCTGCTGCTTTCTCCAACCCAAAGCCAACCCCCAGATGCATTAAACTACAACTCCCATCACTCCCTCTTAGCTGTGGATGGCTTGTGTTGTAGTCCAACACATTCCTGGAGTGTCACATTGGAGAAGGCTTCAGTGGAGGGACAAGCCGTTCTATAAAATGGGTGTTAATTTAGCAATGCCAAAGGTGCATGCATTTCTCCTTCACTATAGCTCAATGCTTTGTTTGCTTTGAAAAGCATCCTCTTGCTTAGTTAGCCTGTAACTCCTGATCACACACCAAAGGCTGGTAGCTGCATTGTCCCACTACAGCAAAAAGAACCAGGGTAGGATATTCCCTAAGTGGGACCAGCTTCCATATAATGACTTAGTTCTTCAAAAAAAAACTCCTTCAGGCTGGATGTCAAGCAGAACAGTGGAGCTGGGTGGGTTCTTTGCCCTCCAATCATTCAGAAATACTGCCTAATTTGGCTTCTATTGATGCTTTCCCTTCCAGCCGCACATCACCTAAAATTAATCCCATTTTTCTAATATAAGGGCTACCAAGGCTTTGGTTTAACTTATGCTCTCAAACTCACAAAGGATCTGTGTGTTCTGCCTAGCACTGAGAACAGAATTATGACTGCTCGTGTTTATGTTTTCATTTTTAAAAGGGCAGTGGTGGCATAAAGGGAACAGCCATTGCTTCTGCCTGTTTCATTAACCTGAAACGTTCTGCCGCTGCCACGGTTTAACTAGCCTTTCCTAACCTGGTGCAGTGCCCTCCATATATTTTGAAGCACACCTCTTACCAATCCCAGCCAGTAGTGCCAGGGATAATGACTTTGTAACCTGAAGCACCAAATGACTTTGTAACCTGAAGCAACCTTGGGGAAGGCTGGCACTAATCGACTCAAAGAGCGATCCTATGGCCCCTACACTTCATGGGTGGGGTCACTTTGGATTTCCAGATCTGAAGCTGAAAACAGAGCTCTGACCTTGGAGCTGGGAATACACACGCTGATACCCCCTCCCCAGCTGATGTGAAAAAAGCCAGAGCAGCTGCCTTTCTGAGGGGGTGAATGACCCCAGAGAGGCTGTAAAGAGGTGTTCAGGGAGGCGACGAGATCGCAATGACCAAGATACAACACATTCTCTGCAACCTTCTTCCTTCCCTATCCTAAGTGTCAAAAATGGCTGTCTAGCTAAAATGCAAAGCAGGAAGAGCAGGGCGGTGGCAATCACTGCCATCACTCCTTTTCGTCTGCACAGGATGCTAGTAAATGTCCAAGTCTGGGGGTGCATGACCACTGAGGGCACCACCCCAAGGAGTGAGCCTTTAACAAGACGATTTCTGCAGCATGGTCTATGCACTTATTTATGCACAGGTAAGTCCCACTGAACTCAACAGAGTGTTTTCCCAGGTATGTGGGTACAGGAGTGCAGCCGAAGCATATCTGCTTGCAAACAGGTCCCACTGAGCTCAGCGGAGCTTACTTCTGGTGTGTTTAGGATTACACTGTTAGTCTGCAGAAAATCTCCTACACTCGATTGTAAGACTATTACAAATGTCAAGTCTCCAATCTGAAGAAAAGTGCTTGAGAAGCAAAAACACAGCGTTCTGTGCTGCTTCAGTTCAGGGATGCAAAGCCTGTGGCCCTTGACCACTTGCTGTACAGCCCCTGAAGGGACAGAAGCCCACCTGTTTTCCCAGGCTTCTGAAAGCAATGGAAATTGCCTGGAGACAGTATAGATTTTTACCTGCATACAGCCCCAAAGATCTCTACATCTCAGGACAAGGAGAGAAAGTGTATGTGTGGGGGGAGTGTGTGTATGTGTATGCATGCATGTGTGGCCACAAAGGACACTTAGTTGATCTCAACTGGTATTATTGTGATTATAGTTTGTGAATCCCCTCCCTCAACAGTAAACTGCACAATAGAATATGCATTTTGTAACACAATGTGTTAGCCTGTCTGAAAATAAGAGCACAATAAGCACAAAAATATATTTCCTAGAACCTTAGCTGGGAAACTGTGAGTAAGCATAGGGACATTTTCCCTATTCAGGACCAAAACACACATGACTTTAAAGATATAGCTTTAGCACACAGCTACTTTTAAAAACCCCCTCTAGAATAAGTGCAGGAATCTCAATCTGGAATAGGACCCAAACATAAAAACCCTTTAATGCTAACCTCTCCAAACACAGTCCACATTAAGAGCTCTACATCTGCAATGTATATTGCCAAACTACGTACAATCCTTTAAAGTACTGAAATTTCTAGCCCTCATTCCTGTATAGCTGAGGAAAGGAAAATGGGCTGTTTTTATACACACATTTTCTGGAGCAGGTACAGAAATGTAAATACGGTGTACTGAAAAGATCTGAAAGCACCTGATGGAGCCAACATTTCAGCTAAGTGGAAATGGAAACAATGCACTGTTCAGGGCATGGGTGACTGTCATGTGACACAGCTGCCAAGAAGAGAGGGGTTCTGGCACGAACAGGAACATCCATGCTCCCAACTCTTTTGCCCTTTCTGCTCTGGCATAAACCTGCCAACTCATGCTAGTGCTTCATACACCTGACTGTAGCCCAGAAATGCGCTATATATATATATATATATATATATATTCCCATTTTATTTTCCCATTATTTTAAGTATTAGCATTGTTTTAAAGACTGGATTTAAATAATATTCTTGATGCTGTACCTTATTTATTTATTTATTTAATCCCTGCCCTGAGACACTGTGAAAGGCAGAATACAAAGGCTTAAATAAATAAATAAATAAATGCCATAATATATCTGTCGGTCTGTGTCATGTAGTTTTGGTTACAGAGGGCCCCCTGTGTGTGTTAGCAATGTTGCTGCTACTATCTGGTCTAGGTTCCTGGGAGGAGGGCTGGAGGGCTCGTTTTGAATTTAAGGGGCCCTGTGGGGGAGGGGCGTCGGCGCCCCCCTCTCAATTTTCAGGCGGACTGCGGGCTGCTTCTACGACTAGTAATAATCAGGCTTTCTCCCAGCCTTCCTCTGACGAGCTCAGGGTGGTCCGCCCACCCGAGTTGGCCACACGGACCACTTCGTGTTCGCATCGAGCAACCGTGGAGGAACCGGCTTGCGTACAAAGGTCCCCCCGGGAGATCCCGGCCTGACAGCGGGATTGCAAGTCGGATCTGACCAGACCCTCCAACGCAGCTCAGATGCCGGGAGTGAAAACTGCCCCGGAGCACAGGCGCCTGTCAGGGGCTGCTGCACGAGGTGCCCTGGGGGCGACCAGCGCGCTGCACTCGCCTTCAGGCACTTCCCAGTCTACAGAAAAACAGCCGCTCCCAACTTCGTCCGAACAGCCATTATTTAAAGCTCGGGTCCAGCCGACACGTGTTGTCTGGTTTGCCCTTTTTACTCTAGAGCTGGCACCGAGGATCCAGCCCGGCTCTTCAAAGCCGCCCTCACCACTATCCCAATTCGGATTTTTCTCTCTCTTCTTTCTCGGGGGACGCGCTTATTCTAGCGTGAAAATGGTTTCGAAAGAGGCTTGGCTGCCAGACCCAGACTATCGGGAATGTCTCCTGCCGGCGCCTTTCCCGCAGCGCGGCGCTGCCCTCCTGCCTACTTTCCAGTAGACGACGCCAAGCCGACGCAGCTGCTGGAGGCTGACAGGCTCGTTGGGCCGCCGGCGGTGCTCCTTTTGCGGGTCCTCCTGGGACTCGTCCATGTACCAGCTCTCCACCATCGCGAGCCACGGCGAAGGCTCGCCCCCTTCCCAGCAGCCAGCGGGGCGCTGCGTCGCATCCAATCCGGGCCGAGGGAAGGCGAGGCTCCGCCTCTTGGCCGGGCGGCGTGCTGGGAAGCCGAGCCGGTTCGTGCGCGGGAGCCGCGGCGGAGCGTTGCCCTGGTCGCTGACCTTGCTCGGGAAACTGCCCCGAGGTGCGGGGTCACTTCCGTCCTGCCGCCTCGGGCAAAGGCCCTACCCGATGCCGCACGTGGCAGGGCCCGGTCCGCAGAGTGAAGGCGAGGGCGCACCCGTGCAAAACCGCAGTGGCGTTTCAACTCGAGTCTTTTGGCTGAGCCGTGTGCATGTGTCAACCTGCGCACATTTGCCAGGTTCTTACACCAGCAAGCGCAGATATTACGTGTAGCATTTACGAATTCGAAAGCTAGCGTAGTTGAGGCATTCTGCTCGTGGGTTTCTTTCCACTTGTTTTCAGTCTGCAAACCAAGCGGTAGTATAGAGGTAAATGAAAATGTGCAGCTGTTCAGTCGTGTCCAATTATAAGCGACCCTATGGGCTAAATAAATGGGCTAATCTATGGAATGTGCTCCCCAGAGAGGTCCGCCTGGCGCCGTCGTTACTTGTTTTTCAGCGCCAGGCGAAGACCTTTTTATTCAAGCGTCATTTTAATTGTTAATATTGGATTTTATCTGGCCAGGGCGACTTATTTTATATTGTTATTTTTTGTATTTTAACTTAATGTTTGCACTTTACAAACAATTTAATGTTATAATTTAATGTTTGTATGTTAACTTAATGTTGTAAGCCGCCCCAAGGCTTCCGCGAATGGGGCGGCATAAAAATGTTTTAATAAATAAATAAATAAATAAATAAATCTTGCCACACTTCCCGATCCCTTGCCACCTCTTTCAGCTAAACTACACTCTGGCCCACATCCACTTTAGTGGAATCTAACCACCTCGCTCTTCAGCAACCTGGTTTTCTCTTGCTGCTGGAGTATTCCAAGCATTTTATCTTTTTCTAATGAGCTTGATTGCATGACATACGTGTGCCAGTTGCAAGCCTGGAGAAATGGAGAGGGTTGAGAAAATACCTGGCAACCTACCTTGGAAAACCTCCCCAAGAAAACCCTATGGAGCAGTTCTCAAATGACAGTACATAGTACCAAATAAATGAAATGATACAATAAAGAAATATATTAAAGGCAATTTAGACTGAAATAAAGGCTACAACTTCTAGCATGCCCCAGGCAGCCAAAGTTCCCTCTGCAATAACTCCCACAAGATCTGCTTGAATCCTCCGGTATGCAGTTTTGGGATGCTCCTGCATTTGGCTCTGCAGGGGGATGCTCAGGTGACTGCTGCAGCTGGGAGTGTCTTTGTCCCCCTTAGGCTGCTTTGCTGACTGAGGATTCCTAATAAGCTCTCAGACCTGGCTACAACAAGAGATGCCATAGTTGCAGCTACACCAGATTATTACAACATGCTCTTCGCGGGGCTACCTTTGATGAGTCTTTTGAAATGAAAATTAATATAGAAGTCAGCAGCAAGAAAACTGTTGGGCACTTGCTTATGAGCACCTATTAAAATAATCAGCGGGGCGGGGGGGGAGTCCATAGTGCTCTGTTGGTACGGACTGATCATATCTGTTCAGTTTTGACCTTGAGCCCCCTGCAACCTCTGCAGGGGTGAGGGGGACCAAGTTTGATGGGCAGCTCCTGGAGGCAGATGAATCCAAATGGATTTTTGAGATCCGCTGGGGAATCGCCTGCAGGCTTAGCCTGCAGTCCTGCTGAGGCCCTGGACACTGCTCAGAGTGAGGAGATGATGCAGGCTATTGATATGATTCCTCCAGAAATCTTAGAATTATGTCACCTCAATATTCTGAGGAGCTGAGTGAGGGTGATGAAATGGCTGTGTTGGTGGTAGAGGACAAATGTTGAAAGACATGTAATGAATACGCTAGAACACAACTAAGAATTCATTCACAATCTTCTTCTGTGGCGGTAATAAGGTAAAGGTAAAGGTTTCTCCATGACATTAAAGTCCAGTCATGCCTGACTCCAGGGGGCAGTGCTAGCTGAGGGAGCCAGCGTTTGTCCGCAGACAATTTCCATGGTCATGTGGCCGGCATGACTAAACACCGAAGTGCACGGAACACTGTTACCTTCCTACCGAAGTGGCGCCTTTTTATCTACTTGCATCTGCATGCTTTCGAACTGCAAGGTTGGCAGGAGCTGGGACAGAGTACGGGAGCTCACCCCATTGTGCAGATTCGAACTGTTGACCTTTCGATCAACCAGACCAGCAGCTCAGCAGTTTAACCCACTGCACCACTGCATCCCTGTGGTGGTGATAGTAGCAAAGAAATCCTGTGGAGCTCTTTCAGGTGGTTAAAGGCCTCTTGCATGCAGGCTTTGAAACACAATAACCTCCAGATTACTGGGCAATATTGACATTGAATTAAATAAATAACTTAAAACCACAAAGGCTGTGTGCAATTTACTAGACTTTTGTGGATAAAAGACTTCGTGCTGACTCGGAAGCCATTGCTTTGACAGGGTATGAGATGGACGGGACGAGAGCTGTGCCTACTCATGTTATAGATACCTTTTGGTTTGCACAGCCTGAGGACAGGAGCACGCTGTTCGGGGGACTCGGTCTCCTACTTGCTCTTTCGCTCTTTGTCAATCCTGCTTTGTGAAATCTGTCAGAGCCAGAGCACAATCCGGAGGGCACCATGGTGAGGAAGCTTGCACTGAACTATTACGCCACAGAAGAGCTGGCAGTGGGGCATACCATCCCAGCGCACTCCCCCTGCGCAAGCATCCCATCAGATGCCTCTGTCGCTTCTGATGGGATCTGTAAGTCTTACGTTGCCCTGTCTGTTTTAAGAAGGGCTCAGCCCCAGCAAGCAGCCAGCTGGTTTTGTCTGCTTATCCTCAGGAAGCAACCCAGTTAAAGAAGTCTTCTCCAAATTGTATCTCTTGCTTCTTAACTCTGGTTGGAAGGCAGGTCAACTTGAACCATGCACAACTTCATAAAGTCCAACCCATTGTTCTGTCACCCAGCCATCAACAATATGCTCGGCACTGTTAATCTGCAGCTGGCTGATTTCACGGCTTCTGCCTGCATAATTTTCGATAATTGCTATTTTAACTCTAGGCAGCATGGTGAGGGAGAATTGTACCCCTCTAAAACAACCACAGTGGACAAGTGAACTCTGCAGCAGTCAGTAGCAGGTCCATTACTTGGCCCTTGGGACTCAGGTCACTGGAGGGAACAGGAGGCACACACAGTCTCACCACGAGGTAGGAAGAGGTCCGCTCACTGGAGGACACCTTTCTGATCCACTCACCAGTCACCACCAGATACTTTCCTCCTCTGTCTGCAGATGGCTGACACCTTAGCAAAATGGAATGGTACATTCCAGTATTCCTAGCATGGTCCAGACAACCATGACAAGCTTGATGAAGCCAATGAATGCACAGCAGCTGTAGAAAAGGCAAACTCCATGTGAGGCATAATTCAGAAAGGAAAGAAAATAAAACTCTCAAGATCATGCTCTCCCTGTAATCTTTTATGTAATTGCCGTTAGAATATTGTGTACAGTACTGGTCACTGCACCTGAAAAAGGACATTATGGAGCTGGGGAAAGGTTCAAGGGAAGGGCAACTAAAATAATGAAGGGGCTGGTGCAATTCCCCTTTGAGGAACTCTTACAACAGTGATCGTTTAGCTTGGAAAAAAGGAGAGTGAGAAGAGGTATGATAGAGGTGTTTAAAATTATACCTGGCGTGGAGAAAGTGGAGAGGGAGGCTTTTTCCTTTCTTTCCCATAATACCTGAGATTACCCCATGAAGATGATTAGTGGGAGATTTCAGGATAGATGAAAGAAAGTACTATGCACACATTAAACTATGGAATTAACTGTCACAGGAAGCAGGCGGGGTGGCCACCAGTTTGGACGACTTTTAAAGGCGATTGGACAAATTCATGAAAGGGGGGGGGGGCTACTAGCCTTGCTGGCTAGGTTCTACCTCCGTAGCATGCCTGCTTAGACCAGGTGCTGAGCAGCTTGGGCAGGAGGAGGTCTTGACCCATCATGCTTGAGGGATCTTGTGGGCAGCTGGTTTGCCACTGTGTGAACAGAGCACTAGAGTGTATGGATCATTGGTCTGACCTTGCAAGGCTGTTCCTATGCTCCCTATTGAAAGCGCTAGTGTGAGGTTGGACCTTATGCTTAGGGACCTGATCCCATAGAACCATGGACAATATCTTTTCCAAGACCTTTGTGTATTGCACCTGAAGGTGTGGTTGATAGATACTGCTTAGTACTCCTAAACCCCACAATTCATCCATGTCTACCAAAACTGCAGCACATAAAAATGATGAGTACATAGAATGTTCTCAGTATCGCCTGGGTCAAGTACTAGAAGCAATCTTCTACCAATGCTGGAGTGCCTTCAGAATGTTTTATCACAGTGATTCATGCCCTTTTGCAGGCCTGTGGAGGATGACAATCAAGGAGTGCCTGGTAACCAATTGTTGTCAAGTGGCTTTCTGGGCAGTCACCCAATTCCCCCTCTGTCTCCACTTTTCATGGCTATACCTCTTCTGCATCTGGAAGAAATTGAGCCAGTGTGGTGGTTCTGTCCTTGGGTTAGGGCACTTGACATAGCAAGTGTTGGTTGAGAGGATGTGCAGGAACACATCCCCAAGCTCTGTGAGATCAGGAACAGAGCAAAGCGGCCAAATACTGAATCAGACCACTGGCCGATCAGAATGAATGTTGTACACACTGAGTTTCAGTGGCTTCACATTCAGGGCTGTTCATGCACAATTTGACATGCAAAATCTATGCATTTGGAGCTACTCCACTAACAGCTGTTATTATAAATGTGTTCCATAGCAGCATCTCTTGAGTATTCTTATAGCTCTGTAATTTTGTAAGTGTCCATGCTAAATGTTTCTGTATGAAGCCCAGGGGCACAGGTAGGCCATTTTAGACTGC